TTATTGTCATTATAACGTTGTTTGGCTAAATTTTGCACTACCCGGTAACCCGATCCTAACACAAAGAGTAGCATTTCACTATTAGCTAATACAAACAGTCCTAAAAAATGAAAATACAAACAACTAAACCGTTATTCTCGTTATCTTCCAATTCCATTATCACCTCCTCTTCGCAATTGCCCTGCCCGCTTCTATCTTTCAGTTTCAGATAAAATAAAAAACGCTCTCTATTTTCAAATCCCAAAATTCCGCATTTCTTTTTTTGCAAATCCCAAAAATTCCTCAATTTTAATCCAAAATCCCATAAAAGTGCATACTAATGGCGACCCTAGAAAGCTTGATCGGATTAGTGAACAGAATTCAACGTGCCTGTACTATCTTAGGAGATCATGGTGGTGAAGGAATGTCCCTCTGGGAAGCTCTTCCTACTGTCGCCGTCGTTGGTGGTCAGGCTAGTATTCCTACGTTAATCATAAACAACTATCCCAAAATTCGGGCTCACATCTATAAATCATCATTCATTTTCAATTTTTTTATTATACAACGAATCAATAAATCAAACAACTCTGAATCTCTGCCTAGTTGGAGTCCGCTATATATATGAATCTCTACATTGTAATAGTGTTACATGCATTTCATTTTCTGATCTTGTGGTGTGATAATCAATCAGAGCTCTGGAAAATCATCTGTATTGGAAAGCGTCGTGGGTAGAGATTTCCTGCCTCGTGGATCGGGTAATTTTAATATTTTTAAAAAACTTTGGATGGCATTTTTATGTGTGGAAAGTCTGATTCATGATTATTGATGAGAGAAGTGTACTGCTGAATTAACAATAATTTAACTATCACATGGTAAGACTTCTAGGTAATCATGTGATAGTTAAATTATTGTTAATTCAGCAGTACACTTCTCTCATCAATAATCATGAATCTACGCTAGGTATTTTATTTGATTATTAGGTTATTCAACTGCTCTTAATTCCAAATTAGTTGGCGTCAGCTATATGAATCCTATATAATATCCATTTTTCTCTATAGGTTCTCTGAATCTCACAATTATCCGCGCACTGAAATACAAGTCCCTAACCAAATTATTGATCTTCTCTCATAAATCTCTTTACTTTTTTGCTTTCTGAGATTAAAGAGTGTTTGTCGCAATTGTCTTTGTATGATTTGAAGTTAGCAGTTAAGCACATCTCTATCCAGTCATTTCTCTTTTTCTGATAATTACTCTTTCAGTTTATACTTCATCTAATTTGGTTTTCCTTTTCCTCGTCTTTTGAAATTTGAAAGGCATCGTTACAAGGAGGCCATTGGTACTTCAATTGCATAAGACTGAGGGAGGGGCTGAATATGCGGAGTTCCTGCATGCTCCAAAGAAGAAGTTTCCTGACTTTGGTGAGTTTTGATATTATAAGAAACTTACTTTCTTTAACCGCTGGTCTTTCAGTTTTGGTTTAGTTGATATGTGTTTGCATGATAATTGAACCTTTACTAGGTTTAGATGCTCCATATGCTACACATGTACACCAGTATATGAGTTCCCTACTTTAATTTGCAATGAAAATTTTTTGAGATCTTCTAGTAAGATAGACATAACTGACCCTTTTTTGGAAACTTTGTGCAACTTGGTGTGAAATGTTAGAGAGACGTTTGAGTAGGGTTGTATCCTGGCCACTTCTGCAGTTCGTCAAAAGATTATTTCGTTCAGGCATATGTTAGATCAAGTCCTCCAGATACACGTAAAAGCATGTTACACTGATAATTTTCTTTCCTAAAATCAGAACTGGAGATTGACCTCGCATTCTATGTCATACCCACTTCCTCCCATATCTGATTTCTGTTCACATGATGAATCAGAGATATCAACTGCTTCCATTGTTTACAAAGTTTTCCACCCATCAAACTTTCCTTTAAAAAGCAGAACGGAATTTTGAGTTGACATTAACATTTATCTGCGAGAATAATGCAATCATCCATTCAAATGTAAGCTTTTCATTATTTAAAACATAATATTTGTTTATGCAGCTGTGGTACGTCAAGAGATAGCAGATGAGACAGACCGCATAACAGGGAAGACCAAGCAAATTTCTAATGTTCCAATTCAACTGAGCATTTATTCTCCTAATGGTATGTCTTCTGTATCCTTACCAGTTTATCAAATCTTGGTTATGTTGATTGCACTTGTTCAATTCTTGAAATATGGCTATGGTCTAAATTGACCATCTTACTATGGCACATTTCCCAACAAAATCTTTGAGGATTCTTGTCATTCAACTAATCATAAAGCATCATGTCTACTTTGGTTTTATCTGACAATCTGTTGTACATCAGTTTAACATATATCAATTCAGCTCTTTATGACCTATCAGCAACTCTTAAGTGAAGTTAGGCATTTTGCATGGGTATAATACTATAATGTATCCTAGTTTGTTGTTGATAGAGAAAGAATTTATGGCGAATATTAAATGCATTAATGGACCAGCCATAATCCACCAGATAGAAGATAGTTTGTGTGTTATGCCGGTTAACTTGAGGTCCTGACCAAAAGTTCTTTAGAATTAGTGCTTTGTTTATGCCACATCATTGTGAGTCATATTTTTCTATTCCCCCCCTCCCTCTCTTTATAATCTTGAATAGCAGATGCCTATATTGATACAGTTATTGTTTCAAGTTAATGACTATCAAGTGCATGTTTTGTCTTACAGTGGTAAATTTAACACTCATTGATCTTCCTGGGTTGACAAAGGTTGCTGTAGGTGAGCACGAAATCACTACTTTCCTATAGGTATAGAAAAGGAGCCAAT